GCATCCCCTAAACAGGCCCAGGTTGGAGAGCACCGATCTACACGGCAAAGTCTAGCCCTGGACTGTTTGTTGTTTCTGGCCACACCGTGCGGCTTGCGGGATTTTAGTTCCACGACCGGGGATCGAAACCGTGCCCCCCTGCCGTAGAAGTGGACCGCCAGGGAAGCCCCCAGCCCTGAGTTTTGTATTGGAGTGTACTTTACTGTGAGTTTAAGTCTCTTCTTGCTAGATTTTAAGCACTCTGAGGACACGAGTAGCATCTTATTCCTCTACCCAGGAGACAACTCGATTTTTAAATGAAAACACAATTTGCATGGTGGTTAAGTTCCCAAACCAGTCCTTAAGAGCCTGCTACCCTCACAGGATACTGGACAACCAGGACAGCTTCTCTCTACCACCGGCAAACATTGTGCCTTCGGGAAGACCTGTTCAAGTTCGAACTTGGGTGTCACTTGAGTCTGCAGTTCCCCTGTCCTGGGGCAAGGTTCCTGCGGGACAGGAACTGGGTGCAGGAGGGAGCGAAAGGAAAGGGTCCCCAGTAGAAGGGAGTCAAGGACCTGGGGGAGGGAGCTGAGGAAGGGGTTAGGGAGGGGCCAGCAGACGGGGAGCGGAGACAGAGGTTGGTGGGGAGGCTGCCTGTACGGATCACCTGGGGACGTTTTCATACAAAGAATGCCCATGCTTCATTCCAGGGTGTTAACATAAAGGGTAGGGCCCAGGCACCTGTATGTTTTTAAAGCTCGAAGGTGATTCCACCCCACGGCCAGGTCTCAGGCCCCCAGTTGCAGACTCTGGCTGGGCCTGCTGACTCTGCACTGGAGACCCAGCAGCGGGTGAGAAAGGCCAGTCACCCCGTCGTTGCACCATCACCAAGAGGGAAGCGGAAGACGCCAGGGCAGTGGGCAGAGAGGGGGAAAGGAGATCCCAGCCCCACGCTGGGTGTCTGTGAGTCAGGAGCAGCCTGTCTGTTTCTGGGGCTTCTAAATTTTCTGGAACAACGTAGGGCATAAGGCACGTTCCTATTTAATGGCAGATGGTTTTAGGAAGGCGCGGCCAACCCTTGCTTTCTGCTCAAGGGTTCTCCTGCCACCAAGGGCCTCAAGGGAGCTCCCACTCCCTTAACTGGGAAGCAGGGGGTTGATTCTTTCCCATCACCAAGGAAGGAGCTGAGGTGCCCACAGAGATGTGACACACCTCCCAGGGGAAGCCTTTTTGCTAGAAGCAACATTGTTTCTTGAAAGAGAAAAATGTCCCCATCTTCTAGTGAGAGTAACAAGAACACAGAAATGACCAGAAGACCTATCTACAGATTCCTAAATTCATGGAATGCCAGGGCCAGAGGGTTCTACGGCTGCCCCATCATTCACCACGAGTCCTCTAAGCCTCACCTTGAGGAAATGACTTCCTCAAGCAGCCGGGTGAAGACAGACAGAGGTCCTAACTCCCAGAGTCAATCGGATGCTTTGGCAAAGCACAGCCCGAGAAAGGAAGGCGGAAACTGGCAGGTGTTTAGAGTCTGTTTTGCACCAAGCCGGCTGCACACTGTCAGTTCATCCTAACAACCCATTTCACAGATGAGGAAAGTCGGGATGGAGCAGGAGAAGCAAGTGCTCCGGGTCACATGGGTA